AGGCGTGGGGGGGGGTGGCCACTCCACATTCTCTTCTCTTCCATTCTCTTGGGATTTGGAACATGCACTGGACATGAGTTTCAAACCATCAGGCCCAGGACTCGAACTGCAATCCACCATGTGGGAGTCTAGCACCTTAACCACTGCACTACTTGCTGCCCCCAGAACTGGACATTTTTGAGGCATCATGCCTGTGAGACCTAATGTGGCTACCTTCACTCCCATGAAACAGTTTCCCATTGAATCAGAAATCATGTATGGTTTACTACATGGTCCGCGTGGATATGGTCTAGGAGATGTTTTGTTCATTTTTCCTGCAATCCTTCATTTTCTGCCCAATTCTGCCAGTGAATTTTGCTGGTCCTTTCCAGGGGCGTGTACACACACACACACACACACTTCTTTACTCTGCCCTTCCATTTACCACCTTCTTTTCACTCCTTCCTATTAAAGCAAAACTTTGAAGAATGGTTTACACTGACAGTTATAGTTAAAATGTTTGCCCCTAAAATTCATGTATTAGAGACTTAATCTCCAATGCAATAGTGTTAAAAGATGGCGTTTTTAAGAGAAGATTTCGGGTCTCTGGGCTTTCTCATGAGAGTGGATTGTTACCACGCAAGTGGGCTTGTTATAAAAGTAGCCCTCACTTGTTTTCTGCCTGGTGCACTTGCTTCCACCCTCTACCCTTTTGCCATGAAATGAGGCTTTTGCCAGATGCCAGCACCATATTCTTGGACTTCCCAGTCTCCAGAATTGTGAGCCAATTTATTGTTTATAAATTGCCCAGTCTATAATGTTCAGTTATAGAACCAAAAACAGGCTAAGACACTACTGCTTCCAATTTCCCTTCCCTCCATTTCCTTTTGAACTTTCTTTCGGGCATTTCCCTCTCTGCTGCACTGAAACTGCTCAAGGTCACTAATAAGCTCAATGCTGCGAATCACAAATGGCAGTGCTCATCCTTGTCATCTTAGGCTATTATAATAGAACACCAAGCCTCGGTGACTTGCCCCACAGAAATTTAGTTCTCACCCTTTTGGAGTTTGGGAAGTCCAACATCAAGTTACCAGCAGATCCCGTGTCTGGAGAGTGCTCTCTGCCTGGTGTGCAAATGGTTGTCCTCTTGTATCCCAACATGGTAGAGTGCAGAGGGAGAGAAATCAAGCTCTTTGTGACCTCTTCTAAGGGCACTAATCCCTGCCACACTAAGCCAGCCTTCATAAGGTAGTTACTTCCCCAAGGCCTGTCTCCAAATACTATTATGTTAGGAGTTTGGATTTTCTGATAAGAATTTTAGAGGATATGAACATTCAGTCAATAGCAGTTCTTGACATCTCTATCAATAGCATCTGGCCCAGTTGTTCAATTCTTGGCTTTTGAAACATTCTTGCCTTGGCTTTCAGAAACCACACTCTTTGGTTTCCCTCCTTCCTCGTGGTTCCTTCTGCTCAATCTCCTTTCTAGTTATTCTTTACCTTCCTACCCTCTAAAAGTTGGAGTGGTCTAGCAGTCATCCTTTTGTCCTTCTCTCTTCTTCATCTGCATTCCAGTCTCATGCCTTTCAATGACATCTATATGAGCTTTGATGTCATATTAAAAGCACCCATGTTTATATCTTAGCCCCGAACTTCAAACACCTAATCCCACTGTCAAACTCAACTCCACTTGGATGTCTGAAAGCCTTCTCCTGTTCAAACTACTAATCTTCACCCTCGAAGTCCTTCTCTTGTGTAGTTTTGGTTTAGGCCAAAAATATAGTTACTTTTTTTCCTTCTCTCTTTGTCTCCTACCATCTTTCTGATTCATCACAAATCCCATCAGCTCTATCTTTAATCCATAATCTCTCACCATCTCTCACCACCATCTTGGCTCAAACAACCAACGTTACATACCTGAATGACCCCAGTATCCTTCTAACTCTGTTTCAATCTTTGCCCCTCTACAGTTTATTCTCTGCCTGAGTGATCCTATCGACATGTAAATCAGATCACTCTTGTGCTTAAAGCCATGCTTCTTTCCCAGTCTGTCAAAGCCATGACAATATCCTAAAATACCTGGTTCCATGTTACTTCTCTGGCCTCTTCTTTCTCCTCTCCCTTACTCTGTTTTGGTCACACTGGTCTCCTTCCCTTCCTGGGATACTTCTGTCATGCCTCAAAGGGTTTGCACTTAATATTCTCTGTCCTTAATACTATTTTTTTTCCAAATACCCATGTCTGTTCTTTCTTTAACATTGCTCTCTCAGTGAAGCCTTCCCTTGCCACTCTAGGTAATCTACAACCCTCCTCATCCTCGCTCTCCCTTTGTTCTCCTGCAAAGCATTTATCACCATCAACACCACATATATCTTACTGATTTCTTTACTGGCCTCACACACATACACACTAAAATGTAAGCTTTTAATGGTTAAACATCAGTATCAATTTTATCCACCCTTCAGTCCCTAACACTTTAAGAAGTGCCTGGTATTTAGTAGTATTAGTGAAAAAGTAATTGCAGTGCTTTTCTTTCTTTCTTTTTTTTTTGGAAAGGTTTTCGCTATAGGGCACGTGCGCTCGCCAGACAGACAGAGAGAGATAGAGAGAGACAGAGAGACAGAAAGCGAGAAATCACCCCCCAGGGGGGATGGTCACGCCGCAATCCCTTCTCCTCCATTCTCCTCTCGGGATCTTGGGCACGCACACACACGTGCCTGACGTGAGTTTTAAGCCACCGGGTCTGGGACGCGAACTGCGGTCGACTACGTGGGAGTCCAGCGACATAGCCATTATGCTAACTACTGGTTCCCAAAGTAATTGCAGTTTTACATTGTTGAAATTTGCTGTTTGATATTAGATATGTTCTTAAATACTGGGTTGTTTGGAAAGTCATGACCCATTTTTGCATAGAAAACTACATCATGACTTTCCTAACAACCTAATAAATGTGGTTGTGTTATATATCTCACTATTTGCATATATATATATATATATATATATATACACACACACACATATATATATACACATAGATATTTTCTTATGACATTACTTGCTGTTTGTTTCATGTATATTTTAGACTATGGAAATGATACTAGACAAAAAGCAAATTCAAACAATTTTCTCATTTGAGTTCAAAATGGGTTGTAAAGCAGCAGATTCAGCTCCCAACATCAGCAACACTCTTGGCCTAGGAAATGCTAATGAGTGTACAGTGCAGTGGTGCTTCAAGTTCTGCAAGGGAGAGGAGAGCGCTGAAGATGAGGAATGTAGTGACTAGCCATCCGAAGTTAACAAAGACCAATTGAGAGCAATCTTCAAAGCGGATTCTTTTAGAACTACACAAGTAGTTGCCAACGAACTCAACTTGAACCATTTTATGATAGTTTGGCGTTTGAAGCAAATTGGAAAGGTGAAAAAGCTCAATAAGTGGGTGTCTCATGAGCTGACTGGAAAAAAAAAAACTTCATTTTGAAGTGTCATCTTCTCTTATTCTACACAACAACAAATCATTTCTCAATTGCATTGTGATGTGTAATGAAAAGTGGACTT